CGTTTAAAAATCCTTAAAGATATGCTTAGTGCTTATGATTGAGAGACCGCAAGGAAAAGCCAAGAAATAGTGGACCTCACACAATGGCATGCGATCGATGCGTTTATTATATCGGAGGGAACTAGGGATGAGGTTGACTGAAGGATTTACGCATGTGACGCAGCGGAGCTTGCGCGATAATAGAGGAGTCCCATGTTTGAGGCAATCACGCAGAAGTCCACAAGCCCTTGTGAAATTAGCTCGACTTTTCGTCCATTTCGAGCCACAGTTATCAGAACGAGCACATGTGGCATATCCGATGCGCTGCTGCCGGCAGCATGCTGCACGAAAACTTCTATCGGGGGCTCCGCAGTTCTAACGCATCGACCGGTGAACGAGATCCCAGTCGGCTTCGAAACGGGTCACGCGGCAAACCTCAACTTCACAATCGGACAGCTGCCCTACTCCACGCTATTCCATAGTTGCGCACTCGAGATCCCCACCCACTCTTTCTTGGCAGAACTGCACCATGCCCACTTACTTTGCCCAAAATGATGCTCCATTCACGCAATGCGGCCTATATACCTCTGTATATTGATTGGAATAGTATTCCTCAGCAATTACCTTGATAGATCTATGAAAATCAACGAGACGCAGTGCGATATTTCCGCCGAATATTCCATCCTCCTTTTTTTTGGCTTCCGCATTTTCTTCGATCGATATGCATAACAACGCTCTAATTCGTCCTATCTGCAGCCGTTCAATACCGGTTTTATAGCGTTGACTAAACTACCAACGCTCCTGCATATTGTCTCAGCCTCTCACTCATCTACTCTGCTCGAGTTTTGCCACATCTGTACATCTTGTACGTACTCTACCTCTTTTGTTTTATCTCATCAATAATATCAATATCATGTGCTTATTGATGCAGTATGAAGAAGCGGTCGAAACAGCTGATTCGCGCAGCTGCGCTTCCCGAGCTCGAGTGAATTGCCCTAACTAATTTTCCCCTTACCTTATGGAACTTTGCGTTTCCTTTCACACTCTTTCCTAACATATTCATATATAGAGAAGTCTGGTGTTTTGGTCGTCTTTATAGCTAAAATACTTCCAGTTTGTCACAGTTAAGCATTGGGCTAGTTCAGAAGCACGCGAGTTTTACACTCTATGCATTTTTCCTTTTTCCTTCTTGCAAGGCTTTACACAAAAATTCTTCTTGGAATGTATATCCGATGCTTGCTGTTGCTGTGGAAAGTCGATTCCGCCTAGTTCTGATTGCGTAATCAACTTCTTAGTCTTTCCAGCTTCTTTGCAATTTGAGTGCCGAAGTATTGTAGTTTTCTCTTCCACGATATTGATTTGTGCCAGCTATAGAACTTAGCATCTCTTGGCTTTCCTTGCCGAGCAATTTGAGTTGATTGTAATTTTGACTGTTTACATTACTACCACTCTAATATAAACTATTAATCTTCAGGATCTACGCTTATCGGCTGGTCTCCGGCTG